GTGGCAAGATTGTGGATACTTGGGAAATTTGAACCGCCCTGGCAGGTTTTTGATTATCAATTTCTTTTTGCAGACTTTCAAACTCTCCTGCTTGCCCCATCAAATCTTTAACCGACTTGGCATCGGCGCGTCGAATGTATTGACGATATTCCGGCCGTAGGTTTTTATACAGGGTGTACAACTCTTCCTCTGAGCTGTATTTTCCATGTCGTCGCATAAGTGATTGAATGTCAATCATGTACTCTCGAAACCTTTCCTTGGGACGTTGTTTTCTTTGAGAGATTTCTTCGAGTAGGTCCTCGGTATACCTACTGGGAAAATAAGTTTGCTTAAAATCCTCTACGAAATCATCCCATTCTTCCCAGCCAGCTTTCCAGTTCCTATACCACAATAGGGCACTGCCCCTTAACAGTTCCGGTAATGCTCTCAGTAAGTTTTCCTCTTCAAAATCATAGCATATTTTAAGCTCTTGAATTCTTTCGAGGAATGAAACTGCATTAGTATTGCCATCAAAGTGTACATTCCACTTTCTCACCTGGTCACAGACCTTTCGATCATCTTGTGGTGTACCTAAAATTGATGCTTCCCAAAGTGATATATTAGCTGGTGCTTCTTTCTCTTTGGTGACATGATCTCGCACTCGTAAACGTAAATCGTTTACTGTGCCGGATGTTTCTAAACCAAAACCCTTACAAACATCCACTAAACCTTCCTTACGCAGGGTGTATATCCAGCTTAGTCCTTGTTTTACCTCAGTGCCAGCTGTACCTTCTGTCGAAGAATTTCCAGCCTCTGCCTGAGGAGTGCTTTGGGCTTTAACTTGCTCTTCTGGTTTTTTTGACGGGCTGGGATTTGTTTTTGGCATTTTAGAATGTAATAATTAAACCACCTTACTGATTCTTACGGGATTTTTGCAGGTTATGTTTTCTATGAAAACTTTTCAGGTTAGGTTACAGGAATTTTCAGGAAAACCCGGGTCCCTGCTCGGGCGCCAAATTTGTGTCGTACCTAGGCTGGTTATGGCCTTAAGTACTTCACCAAGGTTCCTCTCCGGTTGACTCTTCAGATATAGAGGAATACCTACCTCGGGTTGCTTTTATTCAGTGGAGAAAGTAGGGTTTATAAGAATCAGTTAGGGTTTGGTGGTTTAATTTAAAATGCAAAAAGTAACTTAAACTGGTTTATTTACCAAGGTAAAATTATGTACAAAATCATATTAGAATTATATACAGTATTTACAGTATTTACAAAAGTATCGTAGACTTTGCACACAAAGGTTCTTGCATAGCCTTTAATCAGGACAGGCAAATGTTCCAGGGCTTTTCACAGGCAACTGGCAGGCACGGGCGTAGTTTTCAGTCCTACAGAGAGACAGGGCAGATTTGCAATTGGACTCTAGTGGAAAAATACATGTTGTTAGGTTATGTTATATGCATACAGGATTTACAGTTTCATTAACTCTGCTATTAAAGCTTAATATTATACGGCTTAAAGCCCTTTGATATTAAAAACAGGTTAACTTACTGTTAATATTCCACTGAGAATTCTCTGTGATTAAGTGGTTGGTTTTGGGCTCACAATTGATAACACCATTTGGAACTGAGCCACCAGACGACTAACTGTCCATTGAAAAATGCAGCGGTTTTATAGACGAAATTCTGATGACAGACTTGATGAAAAACAATTGGGGCCGCGTGCAATAAATCCTTCACAGGAGCCGTGTGCAACAATTGTTGACAACATATACGGTTGACAGCTGTTCAAGCGCCATCTGTTAGAGTTTCGTCTAACTGCAGGTTTCTGGTGGTCCAACTCTTTCCTTGACGTCGGGTAGTTAGGAAATCGTCTCATAGATGTCGTAAGGTGTATCGTTAGTAATGATTCATTACATAGTGTTAATTTACCCTAGAAGTTTGCACTAAAAGAGTAAAAGTACCTTTCTAAAATTAGAAATTTTCCAAAGTAGTGTTAATTTATACTGAACAAAAGTGGGATTTTACCCAGGAAGTGTAGTACACGATTTTAGGTAAATTAACACTTTTTAATACAGTGTAAAATTACTTTATCCTCAGTGCTATAGTGTTAAATCATACTTGCTCACTTGGGGAAAATTACACTAAAAATTAACTCTAATTGTAGTGTTATAAAACAACACTATTTAGTGTGGACCTGTGTGAACTCTAATTAGTGTTGCTTAGAGTTGATTTTTTTTACTGTGTATACAGGGTGTCCCAGAACTCGCGCCACAGAGAAAAAGGGAGCGTGCCGATAGCAACGGAGATGCCAAATTTAAAAATAAAAAATTTCTAGGTAATAGTGTAATCGAATGAGAGCAAAAAAGCGGCAGCCAATACCGAGAGCTCTCGCCTAGGTTAAACGTAAGAGCTTTAAAAATTGCTAGGAGACGATAGAACATTGTTGTATTAAAAACATTTAAAAATCTTTTGGCCAACTGTATTTACTAAGTTGTCAAAAGCTTTCAAAAATGAGGTTTATAATCTATGACTTATACTTCAGAACGCCAATGTTTTAAAATAACGATTAGGAAAGGGCTGGGAAAAAACTCGCGTTGTCTCCCTGGCGTTGCACAGTGGTTAGTTTGGGCAATCTGGGGCGGAAAAAATATTTTAGTAATGTTTGTAAGTTCATGCTACACTAACACGGTATAATATGGTATAGGAATACCAAATCCCTCCAAAGGCATTCTTTTATTATACAGGGTGTCACATTAAAGTCATATTTTACACCTAGAAATATTAAATACGGGTTTTACGAATAAATTTAGTAGAAAATCTAACAAATTATGTAACTTTTATAAAATGTCAAAAATAATTATTACAATTTTTAATATAAAATCTAGTTTGAATTTTTTAACCGTAAAAACTGCATTTTGTTTCTCCTTTGGATTATCACTTTTTTCTTTATTTTTCAATATTATATACTATAATAATAATATATAACTATGCGTAGTTTGTTAGGTAATATAAACAAACAAAATAACATTTAAGTCTTATCTATAGTTAATAATAATTTACAAAGTTATTCACTATTATCATCAGACTCCTGGTTGGTCTGAGAATATATTGATGGTGGTGTTTTGAGCATTTTAATTACATCTTCTGGTAAATTGTTACGCTTTCTTCTACTTGGTTTTCTTAAACTTGTAATAAATGGATCAGAAGAGATCAGGAGCATGTGAATCATGTCCTCTCTGGTAAATTTTCTTGAATGATATTCTCTAAAGTTCTTTGAATCTTTATTGCGCGCTTCTTGGGTCTCTTCCGACATTTGCCCAATAGGGAGTACTGATGTGTTCACCAGAATTCCTCCATAAATTAGTATCTTGTGGACACTTTGTGGCATGTAATACCACTGATATAGTGATACATAAAGTTCAGCGCGCTGAACTTTACCGCGGTATCCAGACAGTACAGAATCCATTTCACACCAATATAATAATAATCAATGAACGATATTTGATAAAGCAAAAGATAAAACTGAATGTATTTTTCATAAATTTGGTATTTAAAGGTAGTATCTTATACCTTTCTGAAGGATGGAAGGATTTATGTAATCGCCCAGGTAATGCAATAACATTATTTGTAATTAGGCGATTAAAATTAAGGATTAAGGGGAGTAAAAAATATAATATTTATTATTAGGTAACAGATTTTTACATAATGTTTTTGTGATCCATTGGGTGATAAATTATTTAATAATAAAGCAAAACCTATATGATTTGCGATAATAAACCCTTAAAATTGTACGAGTTCCTAAATTGAACGTCTGTGTTAACAAAACACAAAATTGGCAGTTTCATTGTGAAACCGGGTGCTTATAAATTGCTTATAACTTTTTAGATTGCAAGTTATTGCAGATAAAACCACTTTATATGGAAAGACCGATATTTTTTTAGACAAATAAAGTACTTTTTACAACCAATCCACGCCAATCCCAAAAGTTCTATATTAACAAATGCCAAAAATATGTCTTCAAAATGGGTTCTAATGTAACCGTAATTAAATAAAAATGTAACCAAAGTATAAGCACAAAATAACATAACTACTTACTTATGACTATAAATGATAGAAATTAGTAATCAAAACAACAAAACAGGCATTAAGTTAGTTATATTAATAGTACAGGAAGACCGACTCGCAGACCTTCCCTATAATGCACAAATAAAACATTGCTATAACTGCAGTTGCATGCAAGTGAACTGGCTTTTGTTGGCGGGTTAAACAAAATATTTTCTAGAATATGTTTAAAAGTATTTAGGTTTGCAGTGCCGTATAAAATATGGTGATAAAGACAAATTTAAATTTTGATTTATTCCGCCCCAGATTGCCAAAACTGACCACTGTGCGTTGCGCCCACACTAAACATTATTTATAATAACTTAATTTATAACCTAATATAATATTAATGACAGGAGTTTGACAGCAGTGTCACAATGAATTGGATTCCAGTGGACCAAATATTTTACATATTTTTTATTATCAACAATGCAACCTAAGTATCCTAGCAATTTAAAGAATTCCCTATGGCCATCTATTGGGATTGGCTATCGTTTTTTATTCTTATCTCGCTTTTCCTTTGCGTTAGACAATTTTAATTTTCAAATATGTGTTTCACGTTACTTTCGGCACGTTCCGGTTTTCTATGTGGCGCGAGTTCTGGGACACCCTGTATATACAGGTATTAAAATAGGTTGTCGGTAAAATTTAATTATTGCATAAGTTATAAATCTGTCTAGACAATAAATATTTTTATACTTCATAATCTAAATATTGATAAAAATAGATTAAAATAATTATTTAATATAGTGATAAATAATTATACGCTTAAGCATTGTGTGATAGCAACATTGTTTAAATCTACGCAAAAACAAGTATTTAATTATTGTTTTGAAAAATAAATTGAGAGGCATGTGTCTATTTTTCTTATTTTTATCACATCGCAAACCTTCGAGTGATTTTGATAAGGTGCGTCCCTGACCATATTCGAAATATAAGTAGATCAGTAATCATTCTCCTGTCAGTGCTTACAAAATGATTCTACCAGTGGTTCTATTTTTTACTTTATGTGCTTACTTGATATATTTCTACAGAAAAAGTCATAATTACTGGAAGAATCGGGGTTTGGAATATGTGAAACCCACAATCCCATTTGGAAACTTTTCAAACTTCTACAGCAAGAAAGAAGGTTTTGGGGAGACGTTCGCCAAAATATACGGTGAGATCAAAAGTAGGGGTGTGCGACACGGCGGCGGGTACTATTTTTGGAATCCATTGTACATTCCTACAGACCCGGTTATAATCAAAGATATTTTTATATCGAGCTTCGAGCATTTTAAGAACCACGGTTTCTACATGGTCAAAGAGGACCCCATGACGCAACACCTTTTCAACTTGGAGGACGACAAATGGAGGGATGTAAGAGCCAAATTATCGCATTGCTTCACAAGTGGAAAAATGAGGAATATGTTCAATGTAATGGTAGAACACACTGATGTCTTAAAACGTGTACTTAAAGAAGAATTAAGTGATAAAAGTGATGTTAAAATCAAGAAAATATTGGTTCGATATACCACCGATGTTGTTTCGAAATGCCTGATGGGGGTTAATACAGATACCCTTATAAATGATAAAGCAGAGATTTTGTGGCATGGTAGCGAATTCTTTTCAAAAACATGGGGTTATATAAATAACACCATAGTTTTACTGATACCTCGAGCAATTCTTCAAAAATTGAACTTCAGGATAACCCCAAAAGAAACCGAGGTGTTTTTTAAAGACTTATTCAAAAACATCAAGAGTTACAGAGAAAAAAACAATGATACAAGAAACGATTTGTTTGATTCTGTACTAAAACTATCAGACCCTAATTATACCTCAAATTTAAACGATTTCAATGGTAAAAAAGGCATGGAACCACTAAATTTTGATATAACTGTGGCTCAATGTTACGGCTTCTTCGTGGCTGGTTTTGAAACATCATCCACCACTATAACCTTTGCTTTATATGAGTTAGCAAAAAATATGGACAAACAAGACCTATTAAGGCAAGACATAAATGATACGCTGAAAAAATATAACAACGAACTAACATACGATAGTGTACAAAATATGGAATATTTGGAAATGGTTTTAAAAGGTAAGATGAGCGTTGGAAATAAAACATTTTATAAATTTTTATTCTAGAAACGTTGAGATTGTACCCTGCGTTCCCCTTCATACCCAGGGGTTGTAATAAGGACTACAAAGTCCCAGGTACAGATTTTGTAGTGAAAAAAGGTACAGGTGTGATATTATCCGGCATGGGAATACAGAGGGACCCTGAGTATTGGCCCAACCCAGAAAAATTTGAACCACAAAGATTTAGTATACAAAATAGAGATAAAATCGTACCATACACATACTTTCCATTTGGAGAAGGGCCTAGATTATGCATAGGTAAGTTCACATTTATAATATATATATATATACATACTTTAACTTTTTTATTTTAAGTGTCCCAAAAAATTTAAAAGTGTGGTTATGTAGGAACTAAAAAATACTTTTTTTCTACGTATAAAAAAAATTGGAAAATTGATACAGTATACAGTAAAAAACAAAAAGTTTATTTTTTTAAATGGATCACTCTATATTTGAATTTATTTTTCGATTCCTTGTAAAATTCTGAGCATAATTTATATACAAACCATATACCTAAACTCAACCGTTTCTGAAATATTCGCATTCGAAATGTCATCATTAAATGTTTTTTTTTAAACTGTTAAAAATCAAGAAGCCTCAGTATACCAAAATTTTTATTGAAAATAAATTACTATAGTGACATTATGTCAATAAGTGTTGTTAAATAAGTAAAAATGGCGTACTCAGACAGAGAAAGACAAACTATTTCAACTTATTATCTTAAAAATAATTTAAATATTTCAGAAACGGTTGAATTTAGGTATATGGTATGATATATGAAATATGCTAAGAATTTTACAAGGAATTGAAAAAAAATTAACTTTTTGTTTTTCCCTGTATACTGATCAATTTTCCAATTTTCTTTATACGTAGAAAAAAAGTATTTTTTAGTACCTACATAACCACACTTTTAATTTTTTTGGGACACTTAAAATAAAAAAGTTAAAGGGGGGCGACATTATAGGGGATCACCCTGTACATATAATAATTTATAAAAACACATGATTTTAGCACATCGCTTTGGACAACTTCAAACAAAAGTGGGAATATTAACTCTCATAAAAGATTATAAAATAACAATTAACGAAGCAATGAAACCTCTAAAGTTCGGTTCTTATGGTATAGTCTTAGCCCCCAGAGATGATATTTGGTTGAATTTTGAACGAATAAATTAAATAATTATTAAAATTTCAGTGATAACAAAAATGTGATAAATGTTTGTTTATTTATTAAACAAAGTTTAAATTTTACGCAGTCAAAGCAAAAGCCATTAAAATTTAAAATTTAGGCTTTGCGTTTATATTTGCGTGTTTTCGATATTTATTGTACATTTGTTTTAACTAAAACATGATTGAAATATATTTGTAATTGGAGTTAAGAGTAATAAACTATTTCGTGGAACATGCAATTTTATTTGAATTATATGCAATGGTAAAAAGCTTTTAGTTTTGTAATAAAACATATTTAATTTGTTGACCAGCAATATTATTATGTTAAAAATATTTTTCAACATTCTAAAAATGTTCACTTTGGATTGTATCTATGCAAAAAACCAATTTTTTATTATAAAAAATCTAAAAAATTAATTATTAAGTTTAAATAATTTTATATAATAATTTTGTGAAATTTAATTATCATAAATTGTTTATTTAACATTAAGTTACTATGTATCGGGTTTAATAAGTGTTAAATCTAAATAAAATTGTTCAAAAATAGACCATTAAACAGAATACAATATTTCGGAAAAATTATCTATTAACAAAAATATCCTAACAAGTTAAAACTATATTAGAACACATGTTCCCCTTATCTAGCCCAATAAAGAGGCGTCAGGCGAAGCGTTATCGTTAAACGTCCATATTTCGGGGCGGTTTTCTGGGTTAAAAGGGCATGTGGACGATTCGACCGTCGATCGAGCTTCAACTTATATTACAAGCTTGAATTTTTCAGATACTTGTAAACACTTTTCATCAGTCAAATTGAACGGAAACCGGTGGCGATTTTCAATCTTCTGTGTGCTGAGAGAAAAGCTGTAAAAAATAGGACAAATGGGTTCAAAGTAAACGATTTTAGAAATTGAATAAAAAAACGATTTGGAATTTAAAATAAGTTGAAAATACTTTCACCCTTAAAATGTTGTTAATAAAGAGCATTTTGTAAAAAACCAGATTGTATTACGCAAAAATACACAATAAATCACTGAGGTTTTTTCCACATTTTTTGTCGAGTACGCACGTGCATTTTTCCAATTACCATATTCAACGCTATAATCAGATGCGTGACCATTGTTTGAATTTTTCCGTTTTTTCTCAGCCCTAGAAATTTATGTGGTGCAATTTAAAAATTGCGGTCTTCATTAACATGTTTTTCTTTTGTTTTGATAAATAACGTTATTTGTGTCATGTCGAAAAAATTTATTTATAGTCGCGGAAACATGAGGATTTGTAAAAGGCATATTTTAGTATTAAATGAAGTAAAAATCTAAATACGGAAAATTTTTCAACGTCTACTCAAATAAAACTTTTTCCACCGAAACGAAAAATAAATTATAAACGGTGGAATCAGCCTATTTGTTTTATTAAATTGACATGCTACGCCAAAAATATTCCTTTGACTCTTCGGGATACATATGCGAATGGCGGATTGGACGTTTCGAACCGTGAAATAAGACGATCAGAAGAAAACTAAACAAACGGAAAAGTCAACAAGACGACTGGCAAATCGCCCGTGCCAACGGAAATATCGCCGTTTTGACCGGCGAAGTTTGAAGTTTTATTTTTCTGAAATGGCTGAAAAGTGCACAAGTTAAATACGTACTAGGCTAAATGCTACTTTAAAAAGTCTAATGACAAGGTTTTAACTGTAAGAAGCAAAATTGGATACTTAAATGTATACAGGGTGATTCATTTAACTTGAAATATCTCAGTTAGTAAGCATTTTAAGAAAAAAAAACGAACGAACTCTTTTTTTCGGTTGAACACTCCCGTTTGTAGTAAACTGCTTGACTGTACGGTGAAATGAAGTACGTGATCGAATTTTTTCCGGAAAACGCTGAGCGTAGATATTAACAGCATCATCAAGATTCCTGCCTGCTTATCCATAAATCAAAATCATTTCTATTTTTTCTTCCACTGTTAAAAAATCCATTATGAAAAGGAGGTATTTTCGTTTGCAAATTAATCTTCGAACTAAATTGATTAAATAATGCTAAACTATGTATAAATAGTTTTTTTATACCTTAATAATTATTATTATAAATAGTACAATAATCCTTTAAATTAAAGGATTTAATGCTGGCAGGTAAAAAGTGACCATGGTGCGCAATTGATAATTATCACCGAATGAAATAATGTATAAAACTTAAACCAAAGGAAACTTAAATATTAGTTAAAAATCGTGGGCACTTAAAAAATCAGATTTAATTTAATAAGATAATTATTACCAAAAAAGTGATATTTTTATAGAAAAATTATTGCAGAATCATATAAGAAGAAAAATCTAACAAAATTGTTTTTTTTTCATTACAGCGCAATCTATTAAAAATATGAAAAAATGTTTTAGACAAAATCTACCTATTTTTAGTCGAATAATCCGAATCTGCAATAAAAAATAGGGTATTCCATTGGAAATTTTAAAGTTAACCCCTGTTTCCCCTATAAGGAGGAGAGTATGAGGATCAATTTTAGTACTGATTAATTTTCCCCCTCGAATTATTTTATTTTTATTTTAAATATTTTTTCGTAAAATATTTCAAAATTTTAAGTTAAATGACTCACACTATTTCAAAACTAAATAACTTAAAAAAGAACTAAAACCTCGTAAAATGTCTAAACGTAATCTGCCCCAGCCGGGATTATTCCAAAAACGTTTTGGTAGGTTTAAACCTTAAAAGAGAGAGCTTACGTTCAGTCGAACGGAGCGACACTGTGGGATTAAACGCCCTGTACCACGCTGCCCGTATGGAAATTTAATCCCGATATTAAATTCGTACAAAAACAGATAATGCCCTTTCAATTAGCTGATTACAAACGCCCGTTGATAAAAGGCGCGCAAAAGGCGTAAAAACCACATGTTACTCTGCATTAATGTACCCTTTTTAAATGCGAGTTTTTCGCGTGTTTAATTTTTAATTTTCCAAAACCGAATTAATTGAACACCCATTAAAGTTAACTGGCAAAAATAAATTAATTGCTGAATTTTGGATTTTTTGGCCAAAATATTTTTTTTAATTCCTTTTTAATATAAATTTATATAAACATAAAATTGCAATGTAAGGGTGTTTTTCCTTTGAAAAAATGAAATTCTTTGATTTAGATAGCGGTGTTTATGTGTAAATCCTGGTCCACATAACTTTATGTTAGGTTTACAACCAACTGTAATCTGTGTGTAATTGAATAAGTAGTTTTTAGTTTTGTAGATTTAATAACAAACCTACTTCCAAAGGAAGTTAAAAATTCTAAATCCCTTAATTTATTTAAATTACAACCAAAAAACAAGCTTAATGAAAATGTATTTTTTACTATAAAAGAGTGTGGCATTTCTGCAGAATAACACTTCTTACGACTACGCTACGAATTAGAATATAGTAAGCAGAAACATAAGTTGCAGACGCTGAAGTCAGTTGAACTTATTGATGAGTATTGTCAGTGGTAAATGTTTTAATTGACTGCCCACGGTGCTGTTCTGAGAGGTGATTTTTGGACTTTCTGTGAAACCTATTTTTTTTATATTCTTGTTATTTAGGTCATAACTAAAATTTTAAGAGCAAAATAAAAAAAATTTGACGGTTTGAATTGTTTTAATTGGCTGTTTATTAAAAATATTATGCACTCTTTCAATTATCCAATTAAAACTAGCGATTTAATTTAAATATTTAATATTTGCATAATTAAAAAAAGGTTTTTACAATTTTTTTTTATATATTTTACTGATTTGTTGCAATAAACGTTCAAACTTTTAATCTAACCTTTGACGTATACATTTATGTTCCCTTAATTAATATATCCTTAAAGGTTGCCATGAAACTTACATCTATTAAAAATTTATTTGACGTTTGAATTGTCATTTTCAGTATACGTATTCTATAATTTTTGTTTATTTTTTAAAGTGTTTTTTATAAACAAAAATGAAAAATTTTAGTAAAAGTTACGAAGAAATTCATGAAATTTAAGGACCGGTTTATTCATCTTTAGTAAAGTTTATCGGGCCGATAACTTTTATGTCTTGGCAATATCTATTATCCAAAGGAATTATTCGTCAAATAAATCAAAAATGAATAAATCGGCCCTAAATAAACTGTGGCACCTTTAGAATTATTGTTTAATAAATGTATACTATACATTTAACTATTAAACTTTAAACGTGTATTACAACAAAACATTAAAAGATATAAAAAATGTATAGACCTTTTTTTAGGAAATTAACTAATCTTTAATCTGATTTAAAAAGTTATGATAATTTTTAAATACATATTTTTAATAAACATCCAATAAAAACAAAATTAACCGTCAAATTTTTTTTATTTTGCTCTTCAAATTTTAGTTATGACCTAATTAACAAGAATATAAAAAAATAGGTTTCACAGAAAGTCCAAAAATCACCTCTCAGAACAGCACCGTGTGCCTGAAATCACGTGTACTTTTTTAACGAAATAATTTGTTAAACCGTAAATTCTTACGAAATTGCATTACCTTTACAAAACTTTCGGTAAAATATTTTCCTCTGTTAAAACCCTGGTTTTCTACCAAAAATTATGTCTTACAAAATAAAATTAACAAACTACAAACTCATTTTAACAAATCTGATTTTTATAACAGTGTACTTGCCAAATTTACCAAAACATTGAAATCAAGAAGCCATTTTGTGTTGGCCATCTTGTTTTCGGAAACTTTGATGTCAAATGTAAATTTTCCACTCAGAATTTAGTCGGCCATTTTGTTTTTGTAAAATTTGAGACTGTCCAAGGTTTAAACTTTGAGATTAATTTTAGAAAAATACTAATTTTTGAACCGTTCCTCGTATAATATACATCTTTTTTGCGACCATTAACTCCATAGCTCCGGCAAATGCGCGCACTGATATAATCTTTTAAGTGCAATTTCGGCTTTTTCAAATACCGAAACGGACACATATTTTATTGACGACCGTTAAATGCACCCGCCGTTTTTTCCACCACTCCAAACGGGGATTTTTCCGTTTCAAATTGCAGAAAAAAAATAACGAATTTTATCCCTCGTTGGAGTTTTATCAAACGCGTGTCAAAAACAGACGTTTTTAAGTCCTTAAATCGCGGTTTGAATTAGTTTTAAAATCCGTTCTTTTTATTTTATGTTTGTATTTTCTTGTTTTGTAAATAATCCTTATATTTCGTCTAAACGCTGTAGAATTAAACCACACTTTTT